AAAATTGTCTCTAGCGAAAAGGCGGTAACAAACCAAATCAAATCCTTATCCCGCGGAGTATTGTAACCATGGCAAAGATACGGCAACAAACAAAATTTTGTCTCACGGAGTATTGCCACTAGTCTAGTAAAGAGGCGAAAAAAAACCAACAAGTTTTCACCTTGTCTCGAGGAGAAATGTCACTAGCGAAGAAACGGCAACAAACTAAATGTAAATGTCATGTTTTCATTTTCTCTCACGGAGTATTGTCGCCAACGAAAACTTCAAAAGGCGCCAATGAAACAAATGTTCTTGTTTTCGTCTTGTCTCGCGGGGTCCCATTTTTGCTAAAAGGTTTCTTTTTTTTCGTCTGATCCTCACGGGAGGAATTTCACTACGAAGAGATGGGAACAAAGTTCAAAATTTTGTCTCAGGGGGAAATTATTGTTCACTAATTGTAGGAAAGCAATAAAAAAAAGTCCCGCAACAAATTTTGTCTTGTTTTCGTTTCTGGCCAGTCAAATAGCAACAAGCCAAACCAATTTTTTTCAACTTATCATTTGTGGATAAGATTGGCAGTAGAAACAGAAGGAAAAAAAAGCCAAATTTTTTATGGCATTCGTTCTTGCCTCGCCGCGCCTTTTATGGCGGTGAGGATATGAACATCTGCTACCATAAGTTTAATTCATGTTTTTAGTTTCGACGAAAATTTCAAAAAACTGATCCAATTTAATTTTATGTATTACGGGACATTAGTGATAAAAAAATTCTCATTGCTAATAAATAACATTAAACCACTATATATAATATAAAAAAGCTTTATATATATATATATAATATATATATATATATATATATATATATATATAATATATAATATATATATATAATATATTTTATAATAATATAATATATAAAGCTTTTACGGTGTTTGAAAGAAAGATAACAAGATTCATACATACAACTTGTACACTAGTATGCACAGGCTATATATTAATTATTGACAACAGATTATGCGAGTAAAGTATGTTTTTCGACAGAACACATTTTGACAATCAGCAATATGGTATTTTACCTTTTGAATTCCTTACTAGAGGTAGGAACTCCTGTGTAACTCGAACATTGCCAAAGAAGTTTACGTCTACTACAGACTTGAATGTTTCAATTGGGCATAATTCAACATCACCATGTCCATACACGCCAGCATTGTTAATAACGCCCCATAATTCTGGAGTAAAATAGAAAATGGAAACAACACGTCAATATGTCATCTAATTATGATAATAAGATGATTCATTAAAAAAAGTAGAGATAATCTTAAATCACAGTTAGTTGAGTCACGAATTATTATTAATTAAGATCCGTGGTCGAGTACAAAAATTAACAAAACAATTAAAATTAGTCAACTCATTACGAAAAAAAAGCACAAAATATACACTAGGCAGACATTTGTTCAACGGAAAAAAATACATTTCATTAAAAAAACTACGGTCAGCGATCTCAGTCCAGCTTGTCGTACGAATTGCCTGCTAATGAAATAACAGCAACAATACAACAACAACAACAACAACAAAGGCTAGGTATATGTATCGTGCATTAAAACATTGCACGAACATTATCGCAGTAATGTGATATATAACTCACGTAAATCTCCTAGATTATTTCTGACGAACTTTCCTGCTGAAGCCACGCTTTTATCGTCAGTTACATCCAAAGCAACAAGCTTGAGTTTATCCGAACAGTTTTTCTTTAAATTACTAGCACCTTCACCATTTTCGTTAAAACATCCGGCAAACACAGAATACCCCTCTTTGTCGAACTTCTCTGCTGCCATGTATCCGAATCCTGAAAATAAATCAGAGCAATCTACGCATCAAATTGTTTTCTTTATAAACTGGTATTAAACCAGAATCTGAGACAGTAACAAATTTTAACTTTAGAATTAAATGCTCTCTAAACACCTTAATTAATGCACATGATTTTTGTTTATTTTATTATTTCCATTAGGTTAATAAGCCCATGTGGACACAATGCTACATGTAATGAGACAGTGAAATAAATAATGTTGACTGACAATCTTACAGAAGCACTGGAGAAGTGGAAAGGTTTGTATCTCGAATAACACACACACACACACGCACGCACGCACGCGCACGCGCACACACAATTTTTTTTTTAAAAGTCGTAAACAATCGTAATATCCTCATTTTTGGACGATTATACTACTTCCCGCGTTTTTCAATGTGTACGTAGACGAAAGAGTTGAAAAAGGTCAACTTCATTCAACCTTATAAATAAGTTATTTTTACTTCAAGTTCAAAATAAACAACATGTAAGACAACTGAGCGTAAAATATTGACATAATATTTATATAAATATAACATACCCGAGTCACATCCTGAAATAAAGACAGCCTTCCCATCACTTGAAAGTTTGGATTTCTTTCGATTCTTTATAACCCTCAGTAACATGTACAGTACCAGCACACCGAAAAAGTAGTTTTCTAAATCTCCGCGAAAGGCAACAACTGGTACAAACAGAAAGGCGCCTAAAAAGGCAACCTCGTAGAATTGCAGCGGTAAAAGGTCTCCTAGCGACATTGTCGTCTGAAAATCAAAAACAGTATTTCGTGATAAAGTACATATGTTAAACAACACGCGATTCCATCTTAAGACTGAAGTTATAACTTTGTTAAACTATCCAGCAAAACACCATTTCAAAATATTCACTATATGGAGAAATAAGAAATGTGAAAAAAAATAGTCACTACATTAATATATTTAATAAAATATGTTCTAAAGATTAACATTTTACAATTCACAGAAGACTAAAAAGAACAATAGATAGTTTTTCAAATTAATAATATTCACTAATACTTGCAAAAATAATATAGTAAAATATTACCTTAAAATATGTCCTGACGCTACAGTCATATATTAAACACTGTATAAATTAAAATTGTCTCCAGATGATAGCAATCGGATATAACCGGAATCACGCCTTAATGACTCTCCTGTCAAAATAGCTGAAATATCAGCTACATATATATTTATATTGAGGCGGCTATTATGTAACCATCTATATAACAAAACACGAACAAAAGATTATTTAAGATTACACACTGTCACACATTTCAGCAGACAAACTCTTTAACACATTTAAGTGTCATCCAATGGTGGTAAATCTAACATAAGCCCCGTGGCGGTTTCTGGTCTATAAAACGATTTGAAATATACACCACCGTAAAACCCCGAGGCTTGTATGTCAACAGAACACGGCGTATATACGAGTGCAGATGGGTTTGCGAGATTAATGAAAAAGAATTTACATTAAACATGCGCGGTATGCGAACGTACAAATAAACAAGAGTCAAATATGATGTATGTAGGCCTACTACTAGCAGAAGACGCAGGATATTACAGCCGATATTCTCACGTTAAGCACTTTCCTACACCGTAAATCAATAAGAAAATCTCACCCTGGTGTAATAATACACCGTTTATTTCTTATCATAAATAATTCAAGAGTGATATGTTATGAAAACTCATGTTCTGAGATTTCATGAATATGCTGCTATTTTATAAATGATGCTCAGCATTTACCACGGAACTTATAAAATGGAAGTTTTATCATAAAAATGCATGATTCACATTTGATTTAAAAAGCTTAAGGGAATTTAATACAACAATGGATGTTTCTTTTCTTCTTATTTCTTTTTTTTTTAAAGATATTAGATCTTAAGAAAAAAGAAAAGTCGAGTACATGATCAGGAAATTAATAGATTGGCGGATGTATTTGTCATGAATTTAATACGTTGTTACATATACTAACAAAAAAGATAAGGACAATGGACCGCGGCCGATGATACTGCATATATCTACACATTATACAGGTTGACTGACACTATCATATATCTCATGACCATTAAATACTTATTGGGGTAATAAATACACTTGAAATCTTCAACTTCACTTAAAGAGGATAAGATTAAAGAGAGTATTAATAAATCATGATCATGAAATAAGAAACTTTAAATCCGGTAAGGGTATATGTATTATGGAAATTTAATGCATTCATTAAACGGCGTCCTTTCTATTATAATAATTTCATATATAACAATTACAGCTATAGTTTTGTTTTCATATAAACAGTGATGATCATTCTTTACAGGAACTGAACATGCAACCGGAGATAAGTCTTCCTATACATATTTTAAGGCTTGTTTTGCACGTACCCTCCTCCTCCTCGTGGAGGTTAACAACTGTGCCAGATATGCAAGTACGTATGACAAAAGGAAAACGCTTATTTTACATATAGTCGATGATAAAGCAACAGATCAGACAAGCAAAAATTGGTATAATTGTTCATCTGACTTTTGTGCTAAAATTGTACTTTATGTACGTTACACTTCTGGTTGAGGTTGAAAAGATTCACGAGTTGACTCATAAGCATACTATATGTTCGTTCCTATACAGTTCGAATAATGTGCATGTAAAATGACCAGGAAACAAACGAAGAATAAATAATCTAGAAGTATTTAATTTTTTGACTAAGCAGCAAACCCAAAGTACGATATTGATAGTTAAAATTCAGATTCTTTTGCACACACTCGTCTAGGATGATATTTAAGAATTTTTTGTCCAGAAAAATTCTGACGGGCACATACACTGAAACGCCACTGTGATATGCACCACATGGCACAACACCGAATAGTTACCATATTGGCTTAAACATGTTAAAGGGACCCACTGAGGTTTTTTGACATGACTGGATTGAAAATCATTTTTCAAGATTAATGTTCCATTTGATGTAGGTCTAGATCACAAAGTGGTCTACAAAAAGCACAAAAACATTATTTTCAATTTAATTTCGGAGTGAATTTCGTAATCATTTTTTGCAAATCTTTCTGTTTAAATTGCCCCAGTTTATCTATATAAGATATTAAAATTTTAAATTTTAGTCTATTGGCATTGGTGGAGTTCATTTAACAACCAAATTTACCAGCAGAAAAACTTGTCCCAAAGGATATATACCATACAATAAGACACTGAATTAGCATTTCTGATATTTTTAATTGTGAAAAATAAATCATGATCTTATATTACAATTTTGTACAATTTGTACATGAACATATCATGCCATTTATAGTACAGTATGGTACAGATTTATACAACAACAACAACAATTGGCCTACTTTCAAATATTGAAAGTGAATCTGACTTGCATTATTAACACTTAACTCATACCAGAGTAATTATGACAAATTTCTATAGACAAAACATATACATTAAATGTGCAACACAAATATATATAATGTCATCATGTCCCAGATTAAAATCATCACAATTTGAATTAAAATATTATTTCATATGCATACATTTAGGAATATGCAATTTCTAGGGATCAGCTTTTTTTAATTTCTGTAAACAACTGATTTGTGCATATTGATAAAGTTAATCAGTAGATAGAGACTCTATTCATTCACATTATACAGTGTAAAAAATTCGGATTTGAATCCACTAGGCTGGTCAGACTACCAGATTGGAATATTCACAAGCCCAAAAGACATTTCAAATAAACAATATTATAACATATAATGTTCAACCGCCACGGGAGGGAAATTGCCGCTCTGACAACAGCGGGAGGGGAATTGTCCGCTCTGCTAAAATAACGGGAGGGGAATTGTCCGCCCTGTAAAATTGACGGGAGGGGAATTGTCCGCCGTAAAAATAACATGAGGGGAAATGTCCGGGTTGTGAAAAAAAACATTCAAATTTACTGGGAGGGGAATCGTCTGGGAGGGGAATTGTCCGGATACCATTATTGTTATACATGTATATCTGTATATATTTATCTATATTTAATGCATGTATCATATGCTCCAATATGACCAGCTGCATTAACCTAGAAGGTATATGATAAAAGGGTTATTATAAGAGTACTTTGATCTGTAACATTTAGCTCACATGGAATTTACTAGTAGAACATATTACTCTGAGCGCTACTACGCCTCGTGAGAATTAACGCCAGTAAAATCCACTCAAGACAAAACACAAGTTTCAGCTCAAGCTACTGCTATAGAAACCCCTATTACATCATCAGAAAATATCAAAATAATTTTTTGTAATATATTTACTTTGAAACTATTCACTACTTTTTATCAACATGCAAAACAACACAAGATTTTTGCTTTAAGCAAGATATAACCCTTCACAAGACCTCTAGAAAAATGTCATAATTCTTCTGCTAAATTTCAACAATGATTCATTCACACCAAAACGTCTTTTCACAATAACATAAACATGTATTTAACAGATTAGATTGATGTTCTACAAAATATATCAACATTAAAGCATAATTCTCATATTGTAAGTTTGTAAATGCACTTTAAGTTATAAATAAAATTAAAACAAGATCGGTAATTAAAAATCCATATCTGCTTAGAAAAAGTATAAGCTAAGAATTACCATAAATAGTGAACACAACAAATACAGATAATGTGATAATATCAGGCTTTGCCTTCTTTATATATAATCTATCAACTTTTCTTAGTAATTTCAGCAAAACATTGTTTAAATAATAGAAGTATCAAATTCTTTAATTTTAGCTTACCTAAATTCTTATTGAGTTAAATAAAAATTCTTGCATTGATTTTATTCCCTCCTGTAAGTGTTGAAAACTTACATTTAAATATATTAATCTAAATTCAATCAATGTGTGGCCAGTTTGAATGCTCAATTTTCAAATAAATTCTTGATCTCGTAAGAAAACTGACCAACACTAGCAGTGATAAACATTCTAAGAAAAACAACCCATGATTTGCAGGTAACCAGCTTGTAAAGTAATACATACACATCTCTTGAGACAGGTACTTGCTTGATCAATAAGAACAAACAATATTTATAATAACTCCCCAATTTGAATGACCCAAAATTTGATTAAACCTAAAATTTTGAACTCATGTTGTTTGAATGTTACCATGGTAAAAAACTTCAAAATAATTTTAGCCAATGTGAAAATTTACTTTTTATTTTAAAGTATAACAGAGCACTTATTCAAGAATGTAAAAAAAAAATGGCTCAAAAACACCATCATCAGGCCATGAGCTAGACAAGTTAGTATATCATTATAAATTCAAACTTTGTCACTTAAGCTCTAATGTATAAAGATGTGGGACAAAAGTTTAAGGGAAAAATCATCTCTTAATTGTGACTGTTGTAAGTCGGAATAAATAAACACCTTTCTTGCAATACCGTAATGTAAATACTATATATTATCGATCAAATCAAAAAGCCCCATTTTCTTTGAAGTGAAGCATCTCCCACTCTGATAAAGGCTTTCCCAGCTTACTGTGCAGATTCTGGAAGGTGTACATCACGAGATCCTGTGATCAGTTCAGTCATTTAGCTCACATAATGCTGCGGTCACATGATCATGATTTGTCATACATATGTAGCAGGACTGGCAACAGGATATGGTGGTCATGAGAACACAGTGACTGTGATGATCACTTTCTGTTTCACAGCATTAAGTTACTGTCCATGATGTGACCTGCTGGTCACATGATCTTTATGATGATGATGGCAGGAAACTTTGCTCACTGGAATGCCAATATTAAACAATATCATTAAACTATTATTTCAAAACTGAACAACAACTATTTTATTAGGACAAAATAAAAACAAAAATTTACTGCAATGCTTTCGATCTAGTACAGATGAACAGATCATATTTAAATTTCAATTAATTTCCTTAACCAATTATTATAATTTCTCCTCCCCCATGAAAAAAAAACTTTTCTAAAGTTATCAATATAAACTGTTAAATCTAATTTTTGCAAGATCCCTATTTGATTCCTTTAACAACATTGCTGTGCTAGAAATTTAATCTATTATATTGCTTCACTTTTAAAACTGAGCAGGTATACACATGTACATGAGAGGGCAGTATAATTCAATAGTGCTAACATTTTGAAAGCATAGGCAGAGTTAAGAGACTGATAAGCAATGACTGTCCGGAGACAAAGTTGTTAAATTTGTTGAACTTAAAGACTTTACTTTTGGTCAGTTACGTAAAAAAAAAAATTTCAATTAGTATATAGAAATGACTCACTACTCAATTTCTTCAGCTCTTTCAACAGCTTCTCCTAGTCACTGCTCCTCATATGTGTACCCTATAAGCATTGTCTCCCTGTAATCATAACAAAATCATGCTTTTAACATGCTGACATCACAAGAATAACATATTTTTTTTAAATACTTTCATGTTTAGATTTGACGACTGCATTTGTGAAATACAATGCTGCAACAAGTTTTCCTTATGTATGCCTATTAAACCATGTGCCCCTTGGGTGAGGCCAACTTGACCCAAGAGGCTATAATTCAAGGTCTCTTAAGTTATGATTCATGCAAAACATCACACCTGTCATGCTTAAGTGTTTAGTGTCCATCAGACTTTGTGTTAGATTTTTGCAGTTTTTTTTATATTATGCATTAGGTTGCCATGAGAACCAAATTTTTCCAAAGAAATTTAATTCTTTGAACAAATCACCAACATTAAAACAATAAAGTTTGGTTTAAATTAAATTTGTTTTTAGAAGATCATATTTGAAGTCTTGTTTTAGTTGTTAACTAAATAATCTTTATATGACTACGAGACACACACTAAAGTTAATTGCTGTATAAAAATAACACAAAACTTAAACATCTATTTTTGTTATGATAATCCAACTTAAATTTGAGACATTTTTAGGTTGGTAAAATAATGCATTTGTTAACAATATAATAACTGTTTGACTATTCACTTTTAGAGTTGCATCCCTTTAACTGCACTGAATTATAAGATAAATTATGTACTTACTGACTAGGTATCTGGTAACTTGGCTGATTTCTGTAAAATAAATAAATTGTGCATTAATATATTAAATAAATCATATGCATTCAGTTATTTATAGTAAGTAGTAACAAATAAATATGCTAAAATTATTAGCTAATACAGCCAGATATGATAAAATATAGCTAATAATGTTACTGCAGAAGGTTGTCAATAAAGCAGAGCCATTTGTATGTTAAAACAGACAATTGTTATATAAGTAATAGCTTCATACAGCATGTTAAACCTGTTAAACCAGAGATACAGCTGATATAGTCCAATTATGAAAATACTTATATCAGCTTATATATAGATTAATTTCATGTTATAACAATTTAAACAAACATGTAAAACAGGAAAGGATATACAGACAAACTCCTTTAGTTATGGTATCTGACCACAGAGAATACATGTACTTTAAAATTTGATCATTAACTCACTACAATTATCACTTGTTCAGGGCCATTATTTAAGGGTTATTAAATAATAATGTGTATGTACTGTATTTTGGAACTACATGCATATTAACATCATTGTTTGTTATTTAGTCACCTAATATGAAATATCTGAACATTTCTCAATTATTTAACACATCTTGTTAATAATGATGATGACATTTACAAATACATTAATAATACACATTTTAAACAATTAAAATAGCAAAATGCAAAACAGCACTTAATTATTAATTTATTGCAGCAATTTTGTTAATGTAAGTTAACAATATCAAAATATCACAATTGTAACAAGAACAGCACAAAATTACACTAGGGATGTAAAACAGAGATCAATATATATGATTTATTCCAGTAAATATGTTTTAAGGTATTATACTATGAGTATGTCATGTTGATTTTCAATGGACAATCTTGAATTCTATATCATCTACATGTATACATATGTAATATATAGCAGAATGAGATGCAAATTTACAAATTATTATCATCTTAATTAAGAATCTACAGGTTCATAATTTGTTATAAAAACATTTTAAAAGTTGTAACAGTGACTTTGTGTATGAACATATGTTATTAGCTATATAACGTATGTGAAACAACAAGGGTTACATACGATTACAACTGTTGTTTGCTTGTTTGTCTACCTGTTGTTGTTTTAATGCTGATTTTTTGCATGTTTTTTTATCATATCTTGACAGTTAATCCACCTAACCAGATTGCCTGGATAACTTACCAGTAATTACCAATTTCACTGCAAGTGACAGACTACTTATCCCTAATAATTTCTAAAGAAACTGTGAGAGACAAATGGCAAATAAGGATCAAATGTCACAGAGAACTTATGCCTGGCCCAAAGATTAAACCAATGCTCTCCCTATTGAGCTAACTGGCAGACTGACAACTACCTGATACCATGCTATAAAACTATGATAATAACCTCCCAAAATTTTTATTTCAAGTAAAATATACACAATGCTCCATTTATAAATAACATGTAATATAATTATATAAAAACACTGCAGCTGATGTGAATCTTTTACCCCAGAAAGATGTTTTATCATATAATACAACAATATTTGTACATCATCAGCAAAGTTCTTACCAAGGATAAATGACCAAATTCTTAAACAATATTTTACCAAGGCTTCCGAAGGTTTGTCATTCATTGAAAAGTAAAATAGTACAAACTGTCTTGCACATTTTTTTCTATACATGAGAAACAAGGGTGCCATAGTCACAAAATACGCCCGTTTACGAAAAAGCTTTAGATGGAGATGGGGGCATTATGGATAAGTGTTATCTAGCAAGCAAGTTTTTATTCTTGGCACTGTGTTGTTAAATGAACCTTAAAACAAATCAGTAGGGAAGATATGCACAGAATGTGTGACCTTGACCTTGGTGGCAGGGACCTGAATTTTATGCACGGCACTCAGCCTCACAATGATGAACATTTGTGCCAAATTATATTGAAATCCCTCTATGCATGTAGAAGTTTTGCTCCAGACAAGTGTTTTTCTATGAGCTCTAACTGTGACCTACACCTTTGACCTAGAGACTTGGTTTATGTGCAGGGCACTACGTCTCATGGTGGTGAACAATTCTATAAAAGTAACATTAAAATTCCTCCATGCATGTAGAAAATATGCTCCGGACAACATCTGGATATTTAATCATCTCCAGTGACCTTGACCTTGCAAATATTAACCTAAATTAAATGTGTAACACCTGTAGTCATGATAGTTACCATTTGTGCTACAGTCCATCAATAAATGATGACTAAATGGTCCCTATAACCATCTTCAAATTTTTATCTGAACTTTGACCTCTATGTGTAACCTTGACTTTGGTCGCAGGGATCTGAATTTTGCATGCGACACTCAGCCTCACAATGGTGAACATTTGTGCCAAGTTATATTGAAAACCCCCTATGAATGTAGAAGTTTTGCTCCGGACAAGCGTTTTTCAATGAGCTCTAAGTGTGACCTTGACCTTTGACCTGGAGACCTGGATCATGCATGGAGCAATACATATCATGGTGGTGAACATTTCCATAAAGTATTATAAAAATTCTTCCATACATGTAGGAGATATGCTCCAGACAAAATCTGGATATTTCACCATCTTTAGTGACCTTGACCTTGCATATATTGACCTAAAGTACATGTGTCACAGCCGTAGTCATTATAATGACCATTTGTGTTACAATCCCTCAATAAATGATGATTAAATCGTCCCTATACACATCTTCATATTTTTATCTTTTTTTAAATGGGCGTATAAAAAGTACATGTAATTGTAATTTAATAACTAAAAAATTCTGATTTAAGATTTTATTCTAGGGAAATACATTTCATTACAATTCTTAATCTTTGAATGAGCTGAACTGATATTTACTTGAAAATTAAAATATAATTAAATTTCTATGAGAAAGTATTTACATTTGATAAGGTAATTACTGTATGATCTTTATGAACAAATACCAAGTCTACAGAACACAATAGTGATCACAGTTAAGAATCTTGACCAATGAATGAAACATGTGTAAATAAATGTTACATTCTTTAGAACATACTCAAGTCCAAGAAAGAGTATTATTTCATGCCCTTTGATTAAATTCTATTTTTAGAATTGAAAGTGAAAGTAGATCAAGGGGAGTAATTGTGTAAGTCATTTATGAACAAAGTAATAACTTTGTTGTCGCCCTTTGATTAAATTCTATTTACAAAATCTGGATATTTCATCATCTTTAGTGACATTGACCTTGTATATATTGACCAAAATTATATGTATCACAGCCATAGTCTTGATAATGACCATTTGTGTTACAATCCCTCAATAAATGATGACTAAATGGTCCATATACACATCTTCATATTTTTATCTGAACTTTGACCTCTATGTGTGACCTTGACCTTGGCCGCAAGGACCTGAATCTTGCACGCGACACTCCGCCTCACAATGGTGAACATTTGTGCCAAGTAATATTGAAATCCCTCTATACATGTGGAAGTTTTGCGCCGGACAAGCATTTTTCAATGAGCTCTAAGTGTGACCTTGACCTTTGACCTAGAGACCTGGTTCATGTGCGCGACACTGCTCCTCATAGTGGTGAACATTTATATGAAGTTTCATTAAAATCCCTCCATACATGTAGGAGATATGCTCCGGACAAAATTGCACGCCGCCCGCCAGGGTCGTTCCCATAATACGTCCCGTTTTTCAAACGGGCGTATAAAAAGTGCTACTGTTATATATTGTGCCCATGTAGATCAATTGATATTTTATCGTACAAACTGGATTATATAGCCAAAGCACTGCAAGCAAGCAAAAGCCAAAAAAGACTTCAGTCTTACAGTATAACATTAATGGCGTTGAATATTCCATTTTTTTTAAGGAAACAATATCTATTATCTCAAAAAAAAGTTGCCAATGAACAAGGAAAAATTTGAAAGGTTGTTTAATACCAAGAATTACTACATAAGAAAAACTTGGCAAAACTCTCAACAAAAAAAACATGAGAAATATAATGATCATGTTGTTCAAAATGAACCTACCCTATAACTAGATGTGCCTGTTCAAGCTCTGGGGAGGAGGTGGCATATGAGGCACCAAGCTGACTGAAAGCAGAATATACACCAAAATGCCTCCATTAAATCACTTTTAACTGACTACAGAAATAAATCAATGCTAATTTACAGGTGATTAAATATACCCTTGTTACACAAAAAGAGCTTTACAGCAGAGCATATATATTGTTATAAGAGCTTTAGTCGCAAATGAATCCCAAATTTTCTTTAATTTTATTACTTTCATGGACGGTATATTAATTTTTTGTCTTATTCAAAACTGAAAAGAACATACAAGTTATGAAAATTAAAAATCTTTATCTTATTGATTTTCAAACTATAACAGATAAGTTTCCTGGGAATCAAAAACAAAAATATTATATCTCCCTTTCAAAAGTCAAGACCAAATGTAACTCACTGTTTCTGAACAAGAAACATAAATGACCTCGCTGGTTAGGTCATCATATATCTTGTATTTTATAAGCATGCCCAGCAGCCCTCATAAAAAACTTTCTTTATTAACTCTTTATTTGACAATGAAGGAATCATAAAATATATTTATGTAAAGACGTTTCCCTGCTTTGGATTTGGAACTGTCCATTGCAAGTAAAAGGGAATTTGATATCACAGCACATATTTGACCTTGTTTTTATGGCCTTTTCATCATAACTTCCAGTATTATTTCTTTTAGACATGAAGACAATCTATTGATCTACATGCGCCATCAAAGTTCTGTAATAATATTGACAGTATAGAACTTATGTGTCTTATATATGGTATAAACCGTCTCAGTAACAAACATAATTATAACACAATGAAATTCCCAAAACATGCTACAGAAAAAGGTGAGAAATGCCCATTACCAGGTGTAAATAACATTCAAAAAATAGCTTTGTATACACAGAGCGGTCATTAATTAGGCACATGCCTCCAAACTTGACGTAAAGAAAACCTCAATTCTGTATAAATATTTAGTTAAATTAAATTGGAATGGAGTATATACAAAAAGATACAGAAATGATGATTTCATTAATAACTTCACATGGGTTGTAAAAAAATATTTGTAGGTAAAAATGCTAAGAGTCCAATTTCAAAGTATTTCCAAGGAGGGTTATAGAGTTTGTGTTCTGTCCATGCAGAATAACACAGTTACGTCCAAATTAAATACTGAATTATTGCATGATGTTAACAGGAAAAAAGTAAAATTTCAGTAGTCTAGTAAATTAATCAATTTACCTTGTAGCTTTTGCATGTGTGAGTATGTGTGATTTTAGATTGGTTGACTGTGCAAATTTCTTATTGCAACCATCAAACGGACAAACGTACGGCCGGTCTCCTGTATGGATCCTGACATGTGTTCTCAAGTTGAAGTCTAACGAAAATCTTTTACCACATCCTTCAAAAGTACACTGAAATAAGTAATAATACACTGCAATAGGTCAGCAAACAAAGAACTCATGAATAAATCTTTCATTAGACAATGAAAAAATACCCATTATATAGTTCTTTCAAAAACATTGTAACATTTTTTAAGACTACCAAAAGCTCAAAGCTTGTTATCATGCATTGTCTGACTTGTTTTACTGTGCCCTCTTTTAACATTTTAATCAGTTTACCTGATCCATATCCACCAAGTGTGACTTTATCCTCACATCAAAAGGACATAACTACATAGTTAATAAATTAGGAATGTACAATATTTATTAGGACTGTAGTGCAGTATCTTCAGAAGTCTAAACAGACCTGTAAAATCATAAAAGGAGAGGAAAAAAAACGTATTTATTCCCTTTGATTCTAAATAAAACAAACCTGGAAAGGTTTTTCTCCTGTGTGTACAAGTTGATGTCTCTTCAGTTTAGAGCTTTCAACAAATGCTTTTCCACATTCTGCACAAACATGTACCCGTGGACCATGTGTATGTAAGTGTTTACGCATAGCAGAGTTGTCTCTGAACATCTTGTTACATCCTTTGTGCGGACAGGGTACTGTCCTTGGAACATCATCTGAAGGCTTCTTTTGCTTGATGCTGCAATATTGAAAGTTAAAAAAAACACCCCTTACATTAAAATGATTAAGAAAGATATGTCTTCAATGGAATTCTGTTATGATTTGTCTATTCATTAATACTAACAAAAAAAAGTAAATGTACACTGCCAATTGGTTTAGAATAACACTTATGTTGCTTTATGAGCTAAATTTCAATAGGTTATTTGTGTTCATATGGCATAGTCTTATCAGATTATTAGCTGAGTTGGAAAAGTAATACAACCTAAAAAGTTGTATTTAAATGATAAAGACATACTTAAATATCATAATCTATACAATGTTAATGTAACAAAAACATACAAGTACACACTTTAAGTAATTAATTCTAACACATATTTCTGAAAATGAGAAATTTTATTATGTATACCTCGCAAATTCTGCAAGTTGTTTTGGATCACTCAAATCTAATCCTGGAATGCCACCTGGAGGCAATTTTCTGCCTGTCATGTATTCTGTAAAATCTGCATCAGATTCTGACACACTGGAGTCTTCTTCAAGTTTAACTTTGTCATCTCCTATAAAAAGATTAAATATTTTCTACATTATTAACAAAAATTTTAGTTCTGTTACCAGTTAAATATTATTTAAACATAAACATTTTCAATAACCTATTTTCAATTAACTCTACTTTCATTTTCAACAATGATTCTATTTTAAGCAAATCGTCACGTGACCAAAGCTGCGCTATTAGAATAACGTCCGCCATCTTTGAACAAAGTATGCAATATTTTCTGATTTATAAAAATTTTCAAATGAAACTGGTGGCCAATGTTACATTATGCAAAACTTTAATTGTTACCAAACAAATGAAAAATATCTGCTCTTCCACTTAACATAAAAGAGAACTACTAATTGATACTAACATAAGCGTAATTTTAGAACATATAGACAACAAATACATGCAAATGGCGCCTGTCCGCCATTCCAAAAATCTCCGCCATGTTTTAAGAAATGGCGGCGCCCACGAATTTCATGATGGCGGACGCAAAATCAAAACAAACATGAAAACACACTGCAAACTTCGCTTTTTGACTGTGATCATGCAAAAATATAATATAGAATGATAATATGATCATATATGGTCGTGACCTGCTTAGTGACTGACGTCATTCATCCTTTGTGACCTTTCTACAGCGATACCAAAAAATGACCAAATACCGGTCTCATTCCCAACTGTAATCGCTTATCAAATCATTTTCAATAGGTAAAAAATGGATGAAATTACTACAGAACATCAAGATTGCTAAATCATTACCTGAAGCCCACATTGTCACTGAAAATTCTCCTTCCAAAGTTTTGATTTGAACTTGTTTCTGTTCCCATTTTTTGTTTGACGTAGGCATATCCAGGCTGAGTTCGTTTAATCCTGTGTTAGATATGAACTTTGATTTAGTTCCTTTCCTTTTACCACCCTTTCCCTTCCTTGATGTCGTGACATCTTCAGTTACAAGCTCAATATCTGGGGCTGGGACAGCAATTCCGTCCCCCACGAGGTCTCCTACCACTTCTTCACGCGTTTGTAACACTATTTCTTCATGTCCAGCCTCAGGAAGAGGTTGTAGTGCTATCATAGGTTGTACTTCAATAGTGTTATCAGAAGTTTCAACGGTTTCTATTGGTAATTCTACAGGAACCGTTTCTATCTCAACTTCTTGAATTTCCACTTCCGACCCAATGATCGACGCCATCTTTGTTTCAATAATGGCGACCGTAGAGTTCGCCGTAGGGTCGAATTGCTACTTTAAGGTCACGTGATCATGAATATTCAAATCGTGACGTCATATCGAAAGACTACACACACTACTCTATCTAGACAGTTTGACACATGGAGTTGTAAACGCCGGGTGTTTCATAATTTTTGTAATAAGGTGATATTGTGAATAATACGAAAATGGGAGCTACCGTATCAAGGACTGATTTTGAATGGTCGTACACACAAGAACCGCATGCAACTCGTAGAAAGGAGATGCTACGTAAGTTGCATTTAATGATTTATTGTATGAGGATGCCTGATGCATGCATATGAGTATAAGAGCATCTTCATTTATTACAGAGGCTTAGCTGGGGATGCTTACATAAATATGGCATAGATCTCGACGAAGGTCGACTAGATCTAGATCGATATTTGTTCATGTTGTTGAAAGCTCTGTAAAACTGTTCTTATTTTATATATTATTTATTTTTAGATCTACTTCATTTTGTAATGTCCTGTAAGTTGTAACAGTAGTTGATCAAGTTTTATTTATAATACAGTAAGGCCTATTTAGTCTCTTTTATGTAATGAATGCTGGGTTACACTTCTTTTTCTAAATTGTGTTGCTCTATGGTTCTTTCAAATACATGTTAAAAGATGCAAGCTAATGATGTTTTAGATTTCGATCTACAATTTAGCATGTATATGAATACATATCATATAATGATTAATATCATAATAAAATAATCATATCTTATTATCTGACCTAGTTTTGTAATTTAATTGATAAACTTACTGTTGATTGTGACAGGCTATATATACACATATGTTATCTATGCTTTAATCGGCGAGATGCACTATCTTGTCTTCCGCATCATCTCGCTAACATACTATTTATACAATACTGGGTTACCAGTTTACAATGTCTGCTTAACCACAATCAGGCAAGCCATATGTGATCATTGTGGTGTGTATACGACAAAAGTTCATACAACAAAAAGAAACAAAACAAAACCTGATAAAGTAGTTATATGTACTGTAGATGAATAACGACATTACATTATGAACACAAAGCATGTAAATTTGCTAATGAAATGTGCATGTTAAACGTACACAAAAAATTAAAATTTCTACATGAGTTATATTTTATCAAAGTCATAGATGATTATAACGAATTATTGTATTAACTAGTGCTCAGTACTGAGCTAATAAGCAGTAAATAAGATATACATGTATGCAACCGACAGTTATCTATGGTTGCTTTGCAATGAACTATTTACTTAAAAGTTTAATTGTATCATTAATCAAGGGGCATGGCATGTTGGAGTACTTGATAATGTCATTCCATTACGTACCTCCCTATGATAATAGACAATTAAGAGTGTTATAACCAAGATAGTAAATATTCTTAAACAGATATCACCTTTCATTTCGTACGTCAAACTAGAAATTAAAAAAGATTTCCCGCTGTTTTACATTGGAACCAGTCAGTAGACATTCATGGCATTGTTGCCTCATTACAATAACATATGTACGCCTGTCAACTTTGGACCTTTAAGAACGAACAATTTTTAGCATTGATTAAGATGTACGTTATCTATCAATTATTAATAAAACCTGCCAATACAGTATATGATTCTTAAGCTATCATGCTACTTAAAAATAATATATTTATAGCTAAAATATCGTACCACATCGGATTACAATATCACAAGTTAACCAGGCTAGCATAAAACAAGATTTTTAGGTGAATGAATGTAAAAGTAACGATGGTTTTTACAAAATAATATTCAATCTGATATGAAACATTAAAGTGACTTTAAACCTTAAATAAATTAGTCTTATGCGTGAGTAAATACTTCGTGTTTGGGGCTTTTGTTATTTTTCAGAATTTAAGATAATTGAATATATATTGATGGCATTTCTTTCCTCTGAGACTGAATCCACGTACATGTGACAAGGCATGCGTTTTAAAGTTTTCATTTTAAATAAATTGCTATTCACAGTGCAATAACATTTAACGTGTTTGAATGTTCGTTAGAAACAATAATGTTTAATCTGATTTTTGGTTACAATGTACTTGTATTATCAGTTAGATAAGACTCCTGATTTAAACCGGTAGTTCGAACATTTTTATGTAACTATACTTATAAAACATTAAGACTTTGTAAAGTCATGAATCATTGGTGGCAGATTATTATGTATACATACATGGATTATCTTGAAAGGTTAAAGTATTACAATATATAATGCGATAAATTTAATCATCAACGTTACATATTTCAAACCTCGACAAAGCGGCAGTAATCGTACGATGTTACACGAACAACTGTCGTGTGACACGCCTATTAGTTATTTGAACAAACCAGCTTCCCATTTTATGATCAATGCATATAAATGTAGTAAGTATGCGTAGATATTATACAGCGAGAAGTACCTATTTGTATAACATTGGGTAGACGTTTATATGAGATTGATTTTCGATTTTACAGACAACGCTATAAAGGCTGAAGAATTGACATTCAATCCCAGCAAACATACCTATATCGGGCCGATATCGGCTATATGATGGAATATCTGTGTCGGCTACCATATATCGGACCGATGTCTATCCGATATTGACATAATTCACTGATATAGGTCCGACATTGGTCCGATTTATATTCGTTTGACGTGATTTAAGTTTTATCATGGTAACGTTTTTAAGCATACAGGACCATGAAACCGGGAAAAAATTTCCGAATTTTAACGCGTTTAACCATTGAACGGATATTTATCGTAATTTGCACAATGGTAAATAGTTACCTACGCACCGTACATCCGGGCACGCTTACATTTGGCGGAAAACTCAACAAGGGACAAAAGTTCGAATATTTACAATCGCTGGGTAATTTAGCATTTTCTAATACCTTTTTGATAAAATATCATTAGCATAATTGATATACTGGTTGAGTGCTATCGAAATTTTGAAAAATAAATACAAAATATATGGACAAGATGGCTTTGATTTTATAGTCATACAATTTCGCGATCACGTTAAATTGGTTTGGTAATAATTTCTTTTAAACCTATAGGACCTTAGCAACTTGTTGACATAAATAAGAAATAATTTGTTCTTAAGTTTAAGCAAGACTTTGCCATTAATTGATTTATAGGTATACTCTTAAATGATTTTAAACAATAATTGGTCTTTAATTGATAAAAGATGTGCTTTTTTAATGTCTGAATGGTTGTATTGTGTTATTTCCTTCCACTTGAAGAACTTGGGAGACGTAAGATGTCAGTATTAAATGAAATTATTTGTTCATTCTGTGTATAATGTTTTTATTTGGTTAAATATTGTCGGTTAGGGTTTAAAAAGATCATGGCATTTCTTTTGATGTTCTTGTTTAGAAATCAAACTTTTAAATTAATAGCAGTTTGTCCATGTCTCTTCATTTAAGGATGTTCACTTGGTCTGGACACTGCAGGATGATTTAATTAAAAAGAATATTCTTTTTGTTTTTTTTACTTCAGTAATTATATTGAAAGTTATGTTTCTCATTAAATAATATTTTTGTATTTTAGCACGAGATATCCGCATTTTTACCCTATTAGAAAAAATGTCTCGACAACAGACACAAATATTGGACACTGTTCATCAGGTATTTGGCGTCTTGTCAAAGTTGGAAAGTCAAGATGGTGGTGGACCAACTGAATTGCCTGATGATATTCATTTACCAGTTACAAGCATTGAAGAACTGGAGTTGGTTGAGACAGGTTTACAAGAACCTGGTTGTTTCAATGGCTTGGTAAATTTATTTTCATTAGTTAGAAAGATGTTAATTTTATCTTTGCATGAAATGAATTTATTAGTGTTTTTGCTAAACTTTTTTTACGTCACTAAAATTTTGCACACTAGTTTTCTGTCCGTCATACTGTTCTTAAAAGTTTTTGGCCTGTCATTAGTGTGCTTTTGTTTGTAACACAAAAGACATTATATTATTACTCTAGTGTAATATGTAGACATTATATTATAACTAGTGTAATATAGTATTTCTTAAATAGAGAATATCTGTTTGTTTTGCATGTAAGATTGAAAAATATTTCACTGAGCGAACACCAGATGCAATATTAATTTCATGACTTGCATTGCAACGAATGAAAATGAAATACCTGGTGTTCACGATTGAAATATATTTCAATCTTATATGTAAAACAAATAAATTTTCTTTTTATTTCATGCTTTTTTCGTGATATTAAATATTTTGTACTGATTTGCTGCCTGACGTCGCGCATTCTCCTTTATGAAGTCATAACATCATGATGTCATATCATCAATTTTGAAATATAATCCTGTTAAATCCTCCAATTTTGTTACACTTTAACATGATAAATGATGACATCGACTTTCTTTTCTTAAAGAAAGAACATTTACGTATGACGGCATTTTATTGGGCCTGTTATTCCATTTAGTTATATTCTTTTCATCTGCATTCAGATATAGTCCGGCTACAGTGAAAATGATATATTATAAATTTCAGTAGTGGTTTATCAAAATATTATCTATTACAGTGAAACACTGGAAAAGCATGAAATAAATGGCCTTATTACACTCCTGTGAATTATGTGTCAAATGGTTTTTGAAACGTTAGAAATGTGTTTAGAACAAAAATCATATATTTCAGGTCACATACCTGACACTGCAAGGAGGTATCACAAGAAGCGATATGTCAAAAAGAGTCATGAAACACTGCATGTCAAATCAGTTGGCACTTCAGTTCAACTGGTTTGGCAAGAAAGGGAAGAGAGCGTTTGGGAAACTGAAGCTGGCCAAGGCAGTGCAAAGTAATTATTTTATTTTCATTTAAAATTTTATGGATAACCAAACACATAATTGTTACAAACAGTAAGAAACCTGCATATTTGACTTAGATATTTGATTAAAAAGAAGAAAATATATCACTATGTTCTCACCTCTGCATAGAAAAGGATATTTCATAAAAAATAATATATCCCAAACTGTGATTTTATTGCTTAATTAAATGTTTGGAGTTCAAATGCGAGGAATTATATCAGGAGGGAGTAGCCTGATTGATATAATGATTGTATTCGAATATCATAGTGATTTTATAATGCAGTGAAATCACTTTTTTGGATATATTATTTCGATTCTAACAACAACAGATAAATACTGCCGTACCTAGTATTAAGGTACACTGCGTCTGATTTGTTTCCATACTCATTTTCAGCGCCTCACATTTTTAAATGCTAATGTCACATATCTGTAAATGGTTTCGTCACATGTTTAAATACAGTGATTTTATTGCATAATATAAATAACTAGGGTTGGACACCGGTTCCCGGTATCGGTCCTATACCGAATAGTAACTTCGTAAATTACCGGTATATACCGTTTCGTAAAATACCGATACTGGATTTGATACTTTTGTAATTTTGTAAAAAAAAAATAATCTAATAGTCAATAAGAAGATTTTTAAATAAAAACAGCCTACAAACACGTAAAACAAACTATGAATTACTATTATCATGCGGCGAGTACGGCTTTCGCGGCAAACTTGAAGTTTGTGACGCGGCGATATTTTTGTAAAAGTATTGTTCAAGTTTATGTTCAAGATAATAATATTTTTGTACTCGGCAGGAAAATATAATTATTTGAACTGATTTTGCTAAAAGTTTGTAAGTTTTAAATGTCGAAGAAACAACGACAAATCAAATACTTGAGTAATCAGCGGCACATCGCACACAGTCCTTCCAAACACATCGCACACAGCTTTTGCCGAAATGACAATGTAAATCCAACATATGACAAATGTTTATTCAAACAATGCTTTTAAAAAATAATTAAATCCTTTTTTCAGTTTAAGTCTCTAAACACTCATAATGAATACATATTTAATGTTTCCAGGTTCTTTTCATCCATTACCACATGTACAAATCCACACGTGAATTACGATTTTAACATAAATGAGGCCGAAATATTCCAACAAAATATGCCTCCTTTTGTTTTTGGTGTAACACTGAAGTATTATTAAACATGTATACATTTTCTTAACAAAAGAATGCTGACAGAACTTCAATCAAAAAGTGTGAATGTCGGCGGCTCTGTGATGGTGATAGAGTAACAACATCAAAGGGAGGCATATTCTTTTGAATGGCCTATTATGCACCTGTCAAAGGTCAACTTGTGTGTATTACACATTCAGATCTGTGATACTTTAAACAACTGAGACATATTTCATATAGTGTTTTGTAGGATTTTTTGCAAATGTTGGCTAGTATTTTTGCGTATTTGAGCAATGGAATTAAGCAATTTGGTAAGGACAATACTTTTTTTCTGTAGCAAGATGTTCACGGTGCATGCTATTGAAAAATAAAAGATGTATAAAATTGAAGGGTAAATTCAATATTAATAAATACCAAATCCTTATTATTTGTAAAGCATAGGTATTTGCTTTATGACTTCTACAAGGACAAATATTAGGTTAACATGAAAATGTAAACAAACAGTCTGTGCTGACTGTGCATATACATGTTTTTCAAAATTTCTAAGTTAATTACTGGTGGAAAATATGTTTGTGCTGTTGTAGTAGAACAGACTGGAAACATAAGTGACTTTGAAAAAACATCTAAAAAATTTCTTACTGTCTTACATGTAATTCCAAATTGCAAAGTAATCCAACCAATCCAGTGATTTCATTTATTACAGTAGACAATAATGTGATTTAAAAAGAATATCAGCATCAGAATAAAATTTCTACACAGTAATAATAATTGCTGTAAGAAAATAATAGATAACCGACTGTCTTAAATTTTTTCAGATGTAGAGATATCAAGATTAAAACAATAATTTCTAGACTTCTCAGCTGCAGACTGCTGTCCTTCATAAGATATTTTGCTGTGTTTAAATTATGTCATGTTCTTTTGATGAAAAAGTAAAAGTATTTTACAATTAACATGTGTAAATGTTGTAAAAAAGAGTAAACACAAAACAACAAAAGAAAAGTATACTTTACAGCATGAAATTTCAGAAAGACCAGTAATGTAACATATTTATTTTCTATTACTACATGTTATATCTCTTCAGTTCTTATACTTGCAGCAACGGGTTTGGTATTGTAAAAGTATCAGTATCAGTATCGATAAGATACCCGTATCGTTTCGTCAGTACCGGTATCGGTATCGGACCGTTTCGTGAAGAACGATATCCAACCCTATAAATAACTCACTTCAGGTCCTTCTGTGTTTAATAGAGGAAAATGCGGGATGTGTTAGAATATTTTATCATGTCATTACATTGATTTCTGTTGATAAAGTGCATGCCTGATAAACCTAGCTTTATCAGTCACCCCAAGCTTTATCAGACACCTCATCAAAAATATGCAAAATTTGCGAAATGAAATAAAAAGAATGGAATATATTTTCCTGCTACTGGGTTGGAAATATTTAACTGATAAACTTTGAATCAAATAGAAATTTTGAATATGAACGCGTCACTTACAATTAACTAAAACATTCGGGACTATTTCTTTTTGATTTGGCATTTCACATATTATTGCGCGCCGTCTGAACACGAGAGGTTCTGGATAGGGTTTTGCTTCAATTAAAATAAAAAAATTCAAACAACAATTGAAATTGAAAACATGATAAATAGAATACCAAACAAGTGTCTAATATTATAAAATTTATCAGGCTCGGCACGAAAAAAAAAGGAGAGCTCGGCACAGCCTCGCCCTTCTTTTTTTTCTTAGCCTTGCCTGATAAATTTTATAATATCAGACACTAGCATGGTATTCTCTATATATAAATTTTGGATAAAGTTAATAATTTTTATGATGTATACCTTTACTTGATGTGTTAATTGATAAAAGCATAATATTCAGTTTAGAACACTTGAATGTATGGAGAAGTTAATATTTTAATTAAGTATATCACAAAAATTTAAGGAGTATATATAGTCTACCACTACATGTGTCTATAAAGTTCTGCCAGAACAAATAAGTAGGTAGATCTTATTTTCTTTTTTAATTATACTTACAGAAGCAGTCATGAAATGTAAAAAATGTACAGCAGCTGAAGTCGAATTAGATTGTAGAGAATGGTTTCGAAGTGCATGTGACAGAGACGGGGACCATAAAAGAAGACAAAAAACCAATGAAGGTGTCCAAGAAACACCCACTGAATAGAACTTTTTAATATATTTATAGCGATATTGAAAGAAAAAAGATGGCTCTTTTAAATTGGAAGTAATGTAAAGGACTTGTATCATTCTAGCCTAATAGTTCAAGAACATATAGCCTAAGAAGAATAAATCATACCTAAATAGTGATATAGTTAAACTAAACATTATTGAGATATATTTAAGAAACAATATCAGTTTCTGTGTTGTTCATCGGCTATTTAAAATCAGTTTAAGCTTGTGTGTCAGGCAGGATTATATATATTGTGTTTACATCGTTTCTGGATTAATGATTCTTCAGCCCCTGACCATATATTCCGTTTAAAAGTGACGCCATTCTGGCACTTGTATGAACAAGCTGCATTCTTGGAATGACGTTTTTATGGTGCTTACGAGTTCGCGTCAATTTGTCTTATAAAACTTATATCAATCTGTTGGGTCGGTGAATGTGAGATGTTACTTTAGCATCATATGAAAAGAAGAAAAAAAGTGAACTGAAAACATCAGAAAAAGTGCGTTATTATTTTTGCCGTAAAAAGAATTTGAAAACTATTTTATTGAGGGAGAACAAAAAACAGCGGCATATTTGTGTAGTCCATAATCAGTGCTTATGGGAAGTTTATGCCGTTAAAATCCTTCTTTGTTATAGAAACAAAATCTCAAGGAGTGTTAGATTTACATAAGATGTACATATTGTTATTGTTTTTACTCATTCAGAGAATTTCAGTATTTCAATCGCACATATCAAATATTGAGATTATGGTCATAGCTTCATGATAATCAAATAATTTTTACAATTATAATACTAAATCCTGCGATTTGTGAAACTATAATTCAATTATTGTTTTTGATTCGTTATTATAGGTTGTTTTTTTGTTTTATGCTTTGTAAAAAATATTATAAATCCATTTTATTACCATGCCTTGCCAAATGTATAGTCAAGTCTAGTCTTTATTTTTTGCATTGTTTTTTACATTGTTTTATTCTTACATTTATTTTCTTTAATAATTCTGCATAATTGCTGATATTTTTTTTTCTATTATTGCATAATAGCTGAAGTATAAAGAAAAAAAACACCCATACAAATGCAATGTTGTAGATTCATTCTCAGTTTTTAAATGGAATTGAAATCATAGCTTTTGAACATATTAAGTTTTATTATTGGCATTTTTAATTTGTTTGTTTATAATGTTTTACCAAGGAAGCAGAACTAAATTGAATTATTACTAGTCTTTTATATCTTTTTTTAGTCAGGTATGTTTTTATTTAAAGTGAAGATGTATATTTGTTTAGAAATGGAAGCATGAGAAAAGAATTAACAGTGATGTTTGTACAATATATATATTATTTATCAACAGAAATAACAATTGAAGATGGCCATAAGGAGTTGTTTACCAATTAATGCAATCTAATGTAAAAGTCAAAAAAATATTATTTAATGTGGGAATCAAAATATTAGTTATAGTATGATAAAATGATATACTGTCATCAGTGGGGAACTTTCTCAAGAGTGAATCTATTATATTCTTTAAAATTTTGATTTCTTAGATTTATGTCTTCATTATAAAGATTCAGTAACCATGACAATTCATTTTCTTATTTACTTTCAATAATTATATATTAACAAAATTAATATAAGTGTTATTCTATTACCAGTATATTGTCTGTGATTTTTAAAGGAAATTTTTGATTTCATTTATGAAATGGACTTAAATGTCTATTTAATAGATTAATGATACAATTAGACTTCCTTAAACACTAAAAAAAACTATTACAACATTAAATAACATAGATTGAAGACTAATATTGTTTTGGGGGGGGGGTGTTGTGCACTTTTTCTCACATACTTCTCAAATATTTATAACAAAACGATGAAAAATGGATTGTTTGCTGTTATGTTATTGGGTTTTATTTGCAGTCTGCGATAAACAATTTAATTTTGATAAAGCAACAAATACTAGTTTACAGTACCATTGTCCTTTAAAAATACAACTATATTTTTAGCTCGACTATTCGATAAGAATAAGTAGAGCTATTGTAGTCACCCGAGCGTCGGCGTAACCACTTATGTTAAAGTTTTTGTAATAGTTCAAATATTTTCAAAGTCCATTGACATATGGCTTTGAAACTTTGCACACTTGTTCACCATCATGACCCCAACCTGTAGACAGGAGGAGGTAACTCTATCAAGCATTTTGACAGAATTATGCCCCTTTTTCAACTTAGAATTTATGTTAAAGTTTTTGTAATACCTCAAATATTTTCAAAGTCCATTGACATATGGCTTTGAAACTTTGCACACTTGTTCACCATCATGACCCCCACCTGTAGACAGGAGGAGGTAACAGTATCAAACATTTTGACAGAATTATGCCCTTTTTTCGACTTAGAATTTACATTAAAGTTTTTGTAATAGTTCAAATATTTTCAAAGTCCATTGACATATGGCTTTGAAACTTTGCACACTTGTTCACGATCATGACACCAACCTGTAGACAGGAGGAGGTAACTCTATCAAGCATTTTGACAGAATTATGCCCCTTTTTCGACTTAGAATTTACGTTAAATTTTTTTGTAATACCTCAAATATTTTCAAAGTCCATTGACATATGGCTTTGAAACTTTGCATACTTGTTCACCATCATGACACCAACCTGTAAACAGGAGTAGGTAACTCTATCAAGCATTATTTTTTACTATCAAGCACTAGAATAGTCGAGCGTTGCTGTCCTACCGACAGCTCTTGTTTCCAATCTTTGTTAAATTCTCTTTTAACTGTGATGTTAACTGCTGTACACAATTAACATACATTTGTTAAAAAAATATTGATTCTATGATATACATGTATATTTGCCAAATGAAAATAAAAAGCTTATATTTAAGCTCAATTGTGTTTTTTTTTAATTGGAATGAAAAAAATCAAAGTAAAATGTTTTATTAGAAGAAAGATTAAAGGTTAATTTATGTCGGTAAGACACCGGCTTCAAATCGATCTAACGATATACAGCCGATATCGGCCCGACTTGTAGCCGGGTTGCACATCCGACATCTGTCCGATATAAGAAATCGATATCGGGCCGACATAACAACTGATATTGGGCCGATATTGGACCGATATAAAATGTTTGCTGGGATATTGTAGTGAATGAAACCGAAGAAATTAGCTGCTTATGTATATTTATACAAGAATAAAATATAAGAGCTGTACACAACGCAAAATTTAGTAGGCCAAATGTTAAAATGAAAAAACATCTTTACTGATCTTTGGCCCGAGTTAACAACTCTCGAAATGTTTGCTTAATTCATTACACCTTTTATTCCATTTGATATTATTCATATCGGATCATGACGTAACACAACATAATGGTTTGCATTTCAGCCTTTAACGAATGTGATTAATTATATATACACGTTGGCACCATTGTGGTAAATGTTAACCGTTTTACGTCATGCAACATAATTTAAAATCCTGACATCGCGGGTATTTTGAAAATCAATAGCTTTTCTCTACAATATGCACTGTATCAATTAATAATGAAAGTAACATATATCCTCATTAATCTAAACCTTAAAAACTGCTTGAACCGAAGTTATTAACCTTTGGCGCCAATACAGAACCAAGACTAGCCTGCACACCCGCGTAGTCTGACCGGGTGCTATGCTGTTCGCTAAATAATTGTAAATATTCAAAATGGACAATACAGACAAATGGGAGCAGGGCATTTAAAATTCACCAGGTAAAAGGTTAAGTTGATATTGTTCAAATCTCCTTAGCAACGAAGGTATTAAGTTTTAAATTAACATAAATAAGATTCCTAACAACAAAATAATAATAATGTAAACTAAAACATGAATTAAGATTTATTTAAATGACACAAGTGAATTAGCCAGGTAACAGAAATAAATAAACTTAATAGATATTAATAATTACTGTTCTGTACAGTTCTATATCAGAGTAAAGAGAGGTGTAGAATTTTAAAATAATCCCATGCACTACTAATCTGAAAAAGTAATATCTCGTTGTTTCCGCGGTTGTATGGCCTAGGACAATCGTACGAGTGTGGAGCGCTTCTGTAAATTGTTATTTGAGCTGCAAGATTACAATCTGTTTTAAGGGTACTATACTTGTGTTTTGGAATAGGTCAATTAACATTTTCTGTTCTTTAGAACAAATGTCAGCTCTGTGCTTCAATAATAACAATAGGCTATGAATATCTATATCAAAAAAGTATTTGAAAGGTATCAAATAACCGACCGTTATATATACTTCTATATCACACTGAAATTCTTTCTACGCTGCTCGTTTTTACCGACATTTCAAGCTGTAATTTAATGTATTAGTTCAGTGAACGAGCAATTCTCGTTCCGACAAACCGAGGTTTTTCTATGTAAACTGCCTGTCTTCACGGTAATATTGACATATCCTTGTCGACATGCTGGTATCGGATATATCAAATGAAATTACAAAAGCTGAAATTGATACTGTCATTGATGAATAAATTTGTGAATATAAACCATAGGACGCGCTCGTCACGTTTCGTCACGGTAACGAAGCCGGATATTTGATACATTATTCTTCCGTAAAACGATGTAAAACAGGAAGATATTTACGAGTACACTCGTAGTACACTATTGCTTGTCGTTTATTTGAAACCACATGCTATTTACATGTTCTCGTATCTGTCTGTCATATTCTGAAGATCCGGCATAGTCCATTGAAAAATCGGTCTTGGTCCTTGTTAACATTTGTATATATTTATTGCCTCATTAAAGATAGATCTATCATATACTTAAGGTTCAATCGTGTAAATTGTATTTGCTATCTCTGTAATACGATAAAAGTTAACAAGATACGTGTCTGCACAATTGGTGAAAGATAAAGATGAAAACTGCTTTGTAAGGTATTTATAAAAAAAATCGATTTCCAATTAGCTTGGCAGAAAAAAATCCGATTTTTATTGTTGGCTTAACTCATATCAAATTACGCTGCAATCGGTCTGAGCAAGTATGTAATATCCGCCGGGAAAATTTATGTACCAGGTATAACTAAGGCAAACTACGCTGAACTGATCCTATAAAATACAATATTTATAATTAATTTGGTGTTGTTGAGCGTCCAGCACGTACGCGGAAGATGGCGGATTCGGTAGCTAGCGGATTCGCTCTATGTTCGGGTCTTATAAAATGGTAATAGAAGCGTCTTTACAAATTGGTATTATAATAATATATGTATATATAATTGTTTCATGTCATCGTGTCTTTACAGTACAATATATTTGTTATGACAGAACTTTTAAGTTCGGTGTGTACACAAATAAACCCATCTTGATATAAATTGAAATAACAGAAATATTTCTTGTAGGTCTCTAAATATCCAATATTTATGTGTATTCAAATATAGTTTATTTCTTCATTATTTCAGGTAAATATCCGGAGATGAAAAAGTTAATGGGTCATGATCCACTATTGAAGTTTGCTGTATTCGGTGCAGTGTTGCTTCAACTGTTTATGGCCTATATGGTACAAGATGCCAGCTGGGTTACCATTCTCGTATTGGCATATTGTATTGGTGGCACAGTTAACCACTCAATGTCTCTAGCTATTCACGAAATCGCTCACAATTCAGCATTTGGTCACACAAAACCTCTTGCCAACAGACTTTTAGGATTTTTTGCGAATATACCAATTGGAGTTCCTGTGTCTATTTCATTCAGGAAGTACCATTTGGAGCACCATAGATACCAAGGCGATGACGAGAAAGATGTCGACATACCAACTAAATTAGAAGCGCAACTTTTTACAAATGCGTTTACAAAGTTAATTTGGGTTGTCTTGCAGCCTTTTTTCTATAGTATTCGACCGTTCTTTGTGCGCCCGAAAGCGGTACAACCGATGGAAATATTAAATATAATCTTACAGATAGCTGTAGACGTAGCTATAGTTTACTTTATGAGCTATAAATCTCTAGTCTATTTAATATCTGGCACGTTTTTAGCCACCGGGCTTCACCCAATGGCAGGACATTTCATCTCAGAGCATTACATGTTTGAGAAGGGGTATGAGACATACTCGTATTATGGGCCTTTGAACTATCTCACATTTAATGTGGGTTATCACAACGAGCACCATGACTTCCCAAGTATTCCTGGATCAAGACTGCCCTTAGTAAGTACATAATTATTTGGCCATTCAAGTTATTGAATATGCGTTTTTGTTTTCATACCATTCATCAGCCATAGTGGCAAAACTCTGTACTGAGTATATATCCGAGAATTGGTACATTCCATTCTTTTTGTTATTTAAATAATGTTCTTTCTTATTATTTCTTTATGGAACATAATTCAGTTTTAAGTTCCATTGTGATAGCAGGCAGAAATGCTTGAACATCACACAATCGGTATTTTGTTGTTTTCAAATTTATCAGTTTTGTAAACGTTTTTCATGTATTCAATGAAAATTTGTTACTATGGATTTGTAGTTATTTTAATTATTATATTTTGATGAAAGTGGTACTGCCGCTACTAAATAACAAACCAATAATGATATATTTCTACAGGTTCGTAAGATTGCTCCGGAATATTACGACAATTTGCCGTGCCATACATCATGGGTGAAGGTCATTTGGGACTTTATAACAGACCCTGCGATTGGTCCATACGCTCGAGTGAAAAGACAACCAATCCCCGTTAACCCATCTATAGGTGAAGATACCCCGGATGATGCTGGAAAGTACGGAGTAGATATATACGAAAATATGAAGATGACGAATGGTGTACATGGAAACAATGGTGTACATGTTGGCAATGGTGTACATGTTAACGGCAAAGCCAAAGAAGCATAAATGCGACAAAGCCACAAAGAAGCATAAATGCGACAAAGCCACAAAGAAGCATAAATGCGTAACTTTGACATGACATAATATGGAAAGGATAACCAGATTCATAGTTCATTTATAACTGAAAGTGTATAGGGTTTCTCTTACTTTCAGTTTGCACTGTGATTGAAGTGCTAAATGTACGTTATTGAATTAGATGGTGCTAACTCTAAATAATGATGTGAAACCACTAAAAGTGACTGTCGTTATATTATAGAGTTTATACATGTATATACAATGTTTTACATTGATGTTGTCATTTGTTTTAGGTCGAATGGTGTGTATATACATGTTCCAATCATGTTTCTTTAGTGAGAATGTAATTGATTTTTAAAAAAGTTTTGTAGAGAATATTTGTTTCAGTTTTTGTTATCGTTTTGAAAGTTCTTGCCCAGATTAAAGTATTTCATTTTATTTAATTAAACCTATTAAACCTATACACCTTGGATAAAGTCAAGTGGAGGTGCTCAGTTTTATAATTTTAACTTTTTTTATTGAATTAGTAAAATAGTTTTACTTAATAAAATCATCTTAAATTTTTGTTCTATTTTAGATTTTATTTTTTGTTTTACTTTTCTTTAGTACATTTTAACAGTAAATAATTATAGATTTTTTATATTGTTGCAAAGTAGTTTGCTCCATACAGCAAAAAGTATTGGATCGTAATGTACATTTCTGTATATGTCGTATGATAAAGCATATTAATAAGCAGTTAATAATACTTTTATCATAGGTGATTAAGTGAAAAACCTGCTTTACAGTAAACTTTCAAGACTTTTACAACATATTTAGTACTGTCTATAGTAATTGATAATAGCTGAAGTATATACATAATTTTATTGCGTAAGACCACCCTGTACTCTTCCTATATTTCAAAATGATATGCATACAACGTACATTGTACATTAAAATGAACCAATTAAGTGTAATGTTATCATATGAGTTTATGTTTTAAGTAACAACTTTATCTCAACTGTACAACCAAGTGAGCAATAAATAAACCAAACTATGTTAAATAATTATATCTTATTATATAATCAGTCATATAAATTTATTTACTCGCATTAAGAAACCAAATGTTTTTAATCATATTTTGTACCTTAACCTTTACCCCAGTTAAATAACGTAAATGTACTTGTTTGTCTTTTAATCAACCATTCATTGTTGTTAGGGAAAATCTCAAAATAATTACTGGATAAATAGTGATCAGTTCTGACCGAGATCACGGTCTGAACGGGTCCCACTGGTCTGCACGGGTCCAACTGGTTGGAAGGGTAGAATCTGTGGCTACCAGCAGGCTAAATGTATAAATGACTGATCGCAATACACATGTTTGCTGTTTGGATTTGCTTTGTAAGGCACCAGATTTCAAGAACACGTTTGTTTTTATTTTTATAAGTATATGTATGTATAATGATATTTAGATCTGTATTTGTTTGAATTGATGAGTTTAATTTTTTTCTAAGGAGAAAAGATGTCTAAATATTGATTGACGTTTTATGTGACAATATGATTATATGAGCCGCGTCACAACAGAACCAACATAATGCGTTGCGACCAGCATGGATCCAGACCAGCCTGTGCATCTGCGCAGTCTGATCAGAACCAATGCTGATCGCTTACCAACAAGTAGAGAAACTGATAGCGAACAGCATGGATACTGATCAGACTGCGCGGACGCGCAGGCTGGTATGGATCAATGCTGGTCGCAAACCCATTATGATTGTTTTGTTGTCACGCGGCTCAATTATGTTTTATTGTTATACATGTTGAAACCAGACCAACTTGAAAGATTTATGTAATGTGGTTCTTGATTTGCTCATATAATATACTAGTATTGATCTAGTATTGCTTGATTTTTGTTCATTATTTTAAATAACACATTATTTTAATGAAATTTGTTAAATTAAGTAGAACAATATGTTTGTGGATTAGAAATAATAGATTAAAATTGATAATAAAAGAAGTGTAATCTAGTGGACCGTTGCTTTAATCAAAGAAAAACATCAAAAATGTTTATACTTAATCGGTGAGTTTTTGCTTTACAAGTGGGATAAATAGTTATCTATAAGGTATAGACGTTTCATAAAGTAAAGATCAGCGCTTTCATAATGGTAAAACATCCTATTAACGTTAGGTAGAGTTAACCTATTAAAGTAAGGTGGAGTTCACCTGAAAGTAGGTTTTGTACCGTATATACATGTACATATAATATATGCTTTTTTTGTATGTAATTTTCTTGCTATCAGCAGATCAATTGAGTTTTTTTTCTAATCGATCAATTATAAAAAAAAAACACATTTTTTGTTGTTTATCGATTTTGAATATTGATTTATATATTAAATTGTTTTCTGTTGTTTTGATTTTCAATAAAAAATGTCTTTTATCTTCTTATTTTTAAAATTTGTTTGTACTCAGGTTTTTATAAACGTAGTAAGTCTAAAAGAATTGATCAAGATCTTCTTTGAGTCCCGATTTAATATTCTTTTTTGTTTGATTCACAGAACATACATTTATTTGTTTTAGATGTCTAGAAAGATCAATTTTGTTGAAACTTTAAAGAGAAATGTAATGTATTTTTTATGCTAATTTGTTATGGATACTGGTAAAGTGTTTCAATTTTATAATTTCATTTGACTAAGTTGTTACATTAGTGATAAACATTTTCACCGTTTGTGATTGATTTTTTGTGAATGTTAATGTCAGAAAACTTACAGCAGCCGATACTTTGACTGTCGAGCAGACGATAATGTAAAGTCTTGTCAGACGACAGGTAGTTCCGGTTACTGCAAAAAGTCTTCCATTGATCGCAACTAGCATTATCAAGATGTACACAAAAGTAATCTCCCTCTTTTCTCTCATAACAACAGTATGAACAATTATACTGATTATTCATGAGTATATATTGCATGAAAAATGACGTCACTTTCTGTGAGAATGTGATTTATTTAGGAAAGTAGTGTACTGAATAGATCTTATTGCAAAAAATGACGCTTCTGCCTGTTACATTGACAAGAAAGAGAAGAAAGGTTATTAGGGAGATTTCTTAAGATCTTGAGTCAGTGTATTTATTGCTGGTTTGACAATTGTTAAGTAGGTGTGTCATGTTGAGGAAAAACAACCGTATTCATTGTTGAAACTTTGTTTTATATTTATTACATCTGATACATGTTGCAAGCAATACATAAAAAACATCTGGATAAAATCATTTCATGACATAATTTATTCTTTTAACAGTCAGTTTTCAATAGGAACATATTTCAAATAAAACGCTGGAAATATCGGTTGTGCTTAAATTATTTAGTTTAGTGCTTAGTAATATTAGGCGTTTTTAAGTGCTTACCATTGTAAAATATTTGCCAAATCATCGGTTTCTTTCTAGTTGTTCAGTTTTGAAATTCATTTTATATGCATGTATAAGTAAAGATATACAATTTTTAGAGTGGTACACGAATTGGTAAGACAATATGTTTAAGACATTAAATTGAAACATCAGCATGTTAATAAGTAAAACCTTGTTTAGGTTTTTGAATGTTAACATATTTAGAATATGATACACGAATATGTTGGACAATTAGTGAGTTTGTGAGATAACATATGTACAATGTCACACTAAATATAAGGTACATGTTTAGATTTTAATTAGAAAGGGTAAGTTATGATAGCAGAATAACCACGTGATCATGCTTAATACTCGTTTTGTTCATTTGTTTGCCCTTGTTGGTTAAATTGTTTCATGTTTTTTTCTTACTAAATTTGAATTAAAGATATCGAAGCTTTACCTGTAGTGATTTATACATACTTTTCATTTGGCCGATGGCTTAACAATACATGTATTTCATTCATGACTTTGTTTCACCTTTTAACAGCAATGGGAGTACGTGTGAACACATCATTATATACATTTTTGAGTTAGTTTGGTTTAAACATATTTATTTAAGCTCGATTGCGAAACAAGATCTTACAACTTATATCAATCAATTTCGAGTCCGCTTTCTTGAAGCAACAAGTACTAGTGTCATATGAAGAAACATGGTTGTGACCCGATTCTGTGTAGAACCCATGATCGATGGGTTGAGAGCCACAAGGCCATCGCCCACCTTAAGGTCTGATTGGTGAATTTCAGCAAAAAAATGGCATTTACAGCTGCATTAACTGCTGTTCTGTTTCTTTTAAAAGATTAATTTCATTTTAAATTTTAGATTTGATATGGAGATACTATGACCAAATGTAGAAATTGGAATAGCGCAAATAACATCTCTAAAATTGTTCATAATTTTGTCTCCCAAAATACATAAAAACGCCAATTTTGACGAAAAACGATCATTTTTATCTTTCCGAAAACTTCTCCTTTTTTGTTTTATCAAGGATTTATCCGTTAAAGATTTGTTCCTTAAAGTAATAAATTTATATAATAGTACAGTAATTTGACTTGTTCGCTGTGTGAGCGTTCTGCCTAAATGAACACGACGGTACATGTAGTTAGCTTTTAATATATAGAATGAATGTTGTAAGGGTCGACCAAAAATTGTACGCAATTTCATCTTTATCATTTTGTTCGGAACGTGATTATAATACTTTTGAAGCTATTGACAGCAGACGGTTATGCGCATAATTTTAAAAGAAACGCTTTCAATATAGTCGATAGCTTTGCCTAAATATATCACATTACGAACTTTGTCCTACATTCGTAAAGAATCAGACCATGGATTATGTAAGGTTGCTGTATCAGCAATAATACCACACACGTGATTTTTACAACTGAAGCCCAATTTCGAAGTTAAAGTAATCAACACATGTTGTTATAATGTTATTACATGTAGAATAAATCTGTACATCAATTTTATTATGATATTATAACATTTTGTAGATTTTCCGAGTTAATAATCCCCTTTAACCGCCGTATTATTTTAGTAATTTGGAACAGTATGTATTCAATCTATATTTAATAAGCGTCCGCCCTGCACCCGTTAAGGCAAAAAAAGCATATTTCGATGTCGAGTACGGACCCTGGACATGTCACCTGTCATGTCATTAGAGTATAAATTTAAAGCACAAAGTAGTGATAATTTGCCTCCGAGTATTGTTCGGCGGTCAATGAGTACATAAATGTACAGTAACTTGATAATTTGAAAAGGTGGTAGCCCTATAGGGTTTTTGTCGGTAATCAAACGATCTGCCTTTCAAGCCGTCATTCTATGTGCTAAGGACGCACCCTGGCACACTTTCTTTGTCGTCCCTGCCACATTTTAGGGTACTCCCTTCTGCTTTTAGTCGTGACACCAGCAGCTAACTTTAAAGTTACCCGAGCTGTAGAAAGCATGTCATATAAACTTGACGTCTTACACGTTCCGGTGGACCTTCAATCATCTGCCGATGCCCTGTGCCTTCTCAACAACCTACCAAGGGAAAAGAGCTGACTTTGGGATAGAAATGTTCAAAAGGATCTCACACGAGGGGATAAGGTAGATTTAAACAATAAAGAAATACTCATGTCTACACTGGATGGAAACATGCTATGTCGTGATCAATTTATATTAAAGAACAAGGTTAAGTACATAATTTTCCAAATAATATTGATTTTATTAAGATTGAAATATTTGCTTTTACGAAGCTGAAAAACAATATGTACATGCATTTTAAACCAGGTATGTAACTGCTAAAGCTCGTGGAAATCTGCACTTTCATGTACATCGTACTATCACTTTGATACGGGATTTTATTTTATTTAATACAACTACCGTTTATGAAATCTTTAATTTGCATTGCAAATATATTTTAATGTCCTTGCAAGTCTCTGCACTTCAAATCAGATTAAAAATTTAAGATTTATGAGGTCCTCGTTTAAACACACAAATACTTCTTTTTTATTTAACCAGACGTTCGCATACATCATTTCGATATATGTACGAAGAAGCAATATCATGTTTAAAACTTTAGAAAAAGCATTTAGGCATCTTAACGGGTTCTTAAGAATGCGGGTGCTATGATGGAATCTTCAATGACGGGTCTAAGATACAAAGTACTCTGTATACTACCCATTCTTTTTTCTCAAACGTTTAATGTTGGTGTCATGAAAACGAGATCCCTTCAGTTGTAATAACTCCATTTGATGTATTAACTATAAATACAATATCAGTTGGGCTATCAGTTTTATCGCCAAAAGTGTTTTCCTTATACAGCTTGACAAAAGTTAGGCAGTTATATATTATGTAAAACTGTCTTCTGACAACACTTGAGAAAGTCGCGTTGTAAGGAGCTTAACTTTGTTTCGATAAAACAAGATATCAAGGTTATTGAAAAAAAAAACATGTTTTAGTATACCGGTATTTCTTTTACAATGTATTTTAGAAGATTCAACTTTTGAATGTAATATTCGATGCAAAAAATACTTTTTTTAATGGAAACAATAAGGAATGACTAATGTGAGCCCTATAAGCTCAGTATGAAGAGCACCAGTGTCGCTGGTTCGATTCTCGGACGAGGTCAAATTTTTGCTTGGCAATAAAATTATTGATCTCGAACAATGAATGTATAGTCATATGTGTCTCACGGCTGACTTTGAAATAAGGTGGGCTAAGTAATTGCCCGCTGAAAGAGAACATTGTAATTACTGGT